ATTTCCATTTGTGCCAGTCAATGATCATGAGAAAATCAATTTCGAAGATTCTCGTTTCTTTCTGGATGGCGATTATACAGTGTGTTTGGGTTTTGGCTGCGCAAACAAAATGTTGGTTTATTTGTGGTTCGGGAGCAGGTCGTAAAAGGATATCGTTAATTTGAATCCGCCTGCGAATCGCAACCGCAAAGCCTCTCCCGATTGAGTATCGAGTATCGTTTTATTTGATTGTCAATAGCGCATTCCTTTGGCGCGCGCGCGTGTTATTCGTTTCATCATGATTTATAAACAGACACAGACGAAAGCACGAAAGCTATAGATCAACAAGCACGATAATCAAGCGCCTGGCGGAAAGACGGAAAACAGGATGCGAATTTCCGAATGCAAACATTACTCAGGTACTCATAATCCAGTAGGGAGTAAATCATTACTGGATTTAATAAGGAAATAATTGGAAAATAATTTTAAAATACCGGTAATTTTAAAAACCGGTATTTTTTAATCAAAATATTCGGATACCGGTATTTATACAATCATTAAACATTTTAATTCGGAATTAAATATTGAAAATATCAATTTTTGAAAGAAAAAAATACCGGTATACCGATATTACTACCGGTATTACTCAATTTGAGTTTTTACCGGTAATTTTTTAAAAACCGGTATTTTTAAAATTAAAATACCGGTATACCGGTATTATTTTAATTTGGTATTAGATGTCCAAATTATTGACATTCAAACAAAAAAATATACCGGTATACCGATGTTAATACCGGTATTACTCAATTTGAGTTTTCTTTTTCAAGAAAATTTAATAATAAAATGATAAATGATGTGATATTTCATATTTAGGTAAATTTTTCGTGCGCATTGATTTCGAGGAAATTGAATTTCGATCCCAATTAATGTAACCATTTTTATTCGTGTGCGCGCATTTCCTTTTCATCAGTCTTGCGAGCGCCCGGCACGAAATAACTCTCATCGAGATTAATTGCCCGGCAGGTTCGGCGGGCTTATTATTAGACGTTCACAAATTGCATGCGCACGTACAGTACTCGCTATCGATAATGTCCTGAGCTATTACTGTTACTAATATCCCTGAATAGAATCAATAGAGTATCACAAGTCAAAAATACAAAAGCAAAAAAATACGGAGCAAAAGTGGTTTGCAAAATGGCTTTAAAATTGAATTAATATTTAACTAGTTTGTGTTTTGCAAGTTTAGTCATTTTGACCACACCGAAAGAGATTTATGGCTAAATTATGCACAAGCAGTGCGCTGAAACACGGATCGCAAGAAATATTAGATTCGTATAACTTTCAAACCTCGACTTTACTCCAACACGAACATAAACTATGTACATCGGGCTATATTTCCGTCGTTTTCAAAATGAAAATTGAAAAATGATCGATACGGCTATAAATTACACCCGAAAGTTTAAGGTTATGTCAGTTATATTTATGTGAAATCATCAAAAATCAAAAATTTGCAAAAAACGCAAATATTTAACATATGCAACCCAAAATACACAGTTTTTTAAGTGTAGATGTGTTTATGGGTTACATACAAGATAAATTACACCCAAAAGTTTAAGGTTATGTCAGTTATATCCATACAAAATCATCAAAAATCAAAAATTTGCAAAAAAAAGTAAATATTTAATATAGGCAACCAAAAACACACATTTTTTAAGTGTAGGTGTGTTTATAGGTTATGATTCTTAACACATGTTTACAAAAAACATTTTTTATAGTTTTATTTTCCCTAAAGATAAAATAGAGATAAAAAAAAAGACAAAATTTTACGCTTTGAGTTTTTTATAGCGCGTCACAGGGGTAAAATTCAACTAAACCAAAGCAGACTTGACTCTTGTGCTCTTGTACAGCCATAGAATCCGTGTATCTGGATAGTGATTGTGCGCACTTTCATACTTTCCGTTTTATCCCGCAGCAGGACAAACACCCGGCTGAAGGGCCAGCCGGGTAGGTATCCTCGTGGAAATCTTTTATACAAATATACCGGCAACACGCGGCACACGAAATAATAGGATAATAACTGCGGGTTGAGAGCCAGCAAGCAAAGATTTCAAACATTCACTCCACACACACACATATACATATACAGCGAGAGGATAATGTCCTCTTTACGTGCGCGCTTGCGTTCTCCCCGAACGCAACCCTTTTTATTTTATTTGAGTTACTGTCTCGTGCTGTCAGCGAATTTATTAAATAAAATTCTCGTGCGGGCCATCCATTCGAAAATCGCTGGTTGGACTCACGCCACACAACTGGCTAATTGAAAGTTATTTTTTGTGCGCGCGCGCAGGTAAAACGTCCCGGGGTGATCGTAAAATATCCTGGTTTCGGGGGTGGAAAAATGCTGCATTTGTGTTTGAATATTTCACTTGCGTTTCTGTCAGAAATCTGTATTAATCATTTACGTGCACAATGTGTGCGCTGTAGGCAACACACAATGCACATGCGAAAGATTCATGAGATGAGTGCATGCTGTTTGGGTTGCATATATATTTTGCGATATTCTTTGGTATCTGTCTTGTCTGCGAGTGGAAAATATTTGCATGATGCAAATGGTGTTTATGAATTAGCGCGCGATGTACGAACGTTTTACGCCTGAAAGAGTTGCAGCGATGCATTTTTAGTGTTGCTGCGCTCTCGAGGAAGTGGAGTGCACAAAAGAACAATGCAACAAAGTCTTTTGTTAGCGGGGCGTCATCGTTGTCGTCGTTGTGAGTCATGACGACACCTTTGTGAGGCTTCCGGATCAACGCCGAACGCACAATTCAAAGACGATAATAAACTCTAAAGGTGTCGTGGAAAAAAAATCGTATAAATTGCACTGCATTGCAGCATTTTTTGATTTTTGATTTTTTTGAGAGTAAAATAGAAATAAAAATAAAAAGCTATTGAAGTTAAATATTTACAAGGATAACAACGTTGTTAGCGCAAGTGTAGTTGAAGTTTATTTCGCGCAACTTTTTCCATTTTGGTTATCCTTGTTTTCGTGTGCGTTTGCTGGCGTTTTATGCTAGATAATTCCTATTTTACGGTGGAGTCCGCATCGCGCGCGCGAATCCGGCGAAACCTCGGAGTCTAGGAATCATACGAATAACTCTGCCTCTCTAACTGCATCCAGGAAAGCTCCACCTTTCCAGGACGCGCCTGGATAGCTATGAACTGAATTCTTATGGTCCTTTCCATTAAATTCGTTAAATATTTACGCAATCCGCTTTTAGACTTTTCGACTTTTTTCTGTTTTCGTTCGGGCCGGGTTTTCCTTTTTCTTGAAATTAAGTTTGTTTTTTACCGGTCGTTTTTTTTTTCGTGTGCGTGTATTTACTTTTCACGTTTTTCACGTGGAAAAGGATATTCTAACTTTTAACTTTTTGGCGTCTGCAAAAAAAGATGGCTGTCATTTAACTGTCAATTAATCGTATGTGTTGAGAATATAAATTTTTGAAAAGTTTAGAGTTTTAGTTTGGAGAAAAACCGGTATCAATACCGGTATACCGGTATTTTTTTGAAGTACTTATATTTTCTGTATTTTAAATTCCTAATTAATTCATTTAACTATTTTATAAATACCGGTATTAATATCAATATACCGGTATTTCTTTCAAAATACCGGTATTTTTTTCAAAATACCGATATTTTCCAATATTTAATTATTTTATGTAATTATTTCATAAAAACCGGTATTAAACTTAAAATTCCCATCTTTTGTACGTTATGACTTTTGGCAATTTTTAAATATCCATTATTTTTGACACAATTTCTGTTTATTTCCCCTAAAAGTATTTTCGCCAGCGCTGTCGAAAGAAGATTGAAAAAATACTCCGCCGAATATTACGCACTCCTTGTTGTTTTAGGACTTAAACTCGCATGTTTGACTGTTTTACACGCGTTTGCGAAAATGATTTTAATAATAAAAAAAGCATCGCACGCACCGGATGAAAAAAAAAAACAATAAAACCTCTGGAGCGCACAGCGAACAGCATCCGACAGCTCGGATGCATCAAATAATACATCAGGACACATCAGCGGGAATCCTGAGCATGGTATAACTGAATTATGCGTACACACACACACACACACATGCAAAAGACGTGTGAAAAATAGATCACGTTTTCATCGTGCCGCCGTTGCGAATATTTACGAGATGGATTCGGAAGGGTGTTTTTCGGCGGCGGCAGGTATCAAGTACGAGTATTATAATTTGTTTGCGGGTTTTGATGGCTGCGAGGGTTACGAGTTACAAGTTATGGACAGCAGGTAATGCGAAATTGCGGAAAATTTTCAAATGCGGTAGAATAAAACCGGATGCGATGAAGGAGCACGTTTGCTGCTCTCCACCAGGAGCAGGGGTGGTGGCTGGTTGGTTGGCAGGCGAAAGGGATGCACGAGCATCGAATTTACGAAATCGTAAAGTTGGCGAAATCGAGGCGAAAGTCGAAAAGTCTGCGCGCGTACGTACACTCGGCAAGTTATTGAGTTATTCAACAAAATTCAACCCACAGCACACGAAAATGCAAGCAATGCATATGAAATATTAACTAAACTCTTCGCCGTGCGAATTCATTTTTTTTTCTATTTTTTGCTATTTTCACCTCCCAAAGATTGTATCTGAGTTATTTTTGTGCAGTTATTAATTATTTTACGTGCGACTGGTTTTTGCACTCGAGCGCAAACGTCAATAAAGCAAAACGCACGGAATTGGATCATTAATCAGGCGAATAATTTATATAACTCGCAAAGAAATCCGGCACAAAATAAATATTATCTTTTGATGTTAATTAATTGAGTATGAGTGCGAGTAAATTACGCTCGGCGTGTTTAATTATTAAATTTTGATAATAGTCGAGTTCTAATTGTCTCTGCGCGCAAGTTTTCCTGTTTTCCGGTTTGCGTGCGGCGATAATTAGAAAGTTTCTCATTATGCACTCACTGTCTGTGGCACATTATGTCACTGTAAGTTATTTTACCTTATTTTATAACAGAGGTAAGAAGCCCCATGAACAATCGCAGAGTCATTTAATAACATCACCTATGCACATGATTATCGCACCCTCCTGACACAGACACAAGCACGCACATTTTTAATAATCGCACTGTAAACTTGTTGTTTGCACTGATATTACTGTTGGGTAAACGGTGGTGACAATGTACGCGCACGATGGTGGCAGCGCGCGGCGCGGCGATAAGCATTGCATGTTGGTGATGCGCGTGACGTGTGTGTGCGGCCGATTTGAAGTTTAGCGCGCCACTGACGCGACTGCCGACCGGCGGCACGGCGGCTGCGAGCAGAGGCGGCGGTGGAGGCGGCGCGGCGCCGCGCGAGCATATTTGGCAATTCATGCGCATGCACGTAAAACACATCAAATATTAAAAACAAATTTGCGATAAATAACAAACAGTTCGATTAGATGTTTGGTGTGTTGTCGATGGGCGCGAATGAAAATGACGCGGAAGTTGGGCTGTGCTGCACTTGCTGCTGCCACTCAACCACTTCGGCTCGGTGGAGTTGAGTGAATAAATGCACTCTCGGATATGAAATATGCTTATTAGTTTACTGCGAGCCATGGGGGCTGAATTATGAATTTAATAATCGCAATATTTACATGCGCGGTGTTCTGTTATTATAGGAATGCATTTGAATGTTTTGTTCAATTATAAATCAATTCCTGCTGAAATATAAGCGATTTATCAACAAAAACTTTGTTTAATGATAAAATTAGATGAATTTTATTGGTTTTTATTAATTTTTTCTGTGTAACGACGAAAAATATTTTTATTTCAAGCAATTATGGCTTAGAATATTTTTTAAAGACATGACATCGATGGTAACATTTGAAATATTGTTGTGGTTATGCAACCCAACATACACACAAATTGCAATGCAATATTTTATAACTTAAGCACGATTTTTCAGCTAATTTGTTGGTGTGCACGTTGCGTTACTACAAAATCATTTAAAAATAACACAAGTGAATACAACTGAGCGACGCGGAATGCATATTTTGACTTCAGGAAATATTTACCGGCATTTTTACAAGAGTAATTGAGTTTATAACCAGCTTACAAAAGATGAAAAAGTTGCCTATTACGTAAAATCTCAATATTTGGTTATGTTTTATTCCTCGATGTAACGACATCTTTATAAACCTTGTTATAAAGATGTTAGACTACATTTTGCTATAATTTTAGCAGTAAAACTAGTTAAAAGTCTTTTTTACTACAAGAAAGGAATGAAATAAACAAATTTTCAGGATTTTCTTTAAAAATGCAGTAAATTTAGGGCAAAAACTGAAATTTACTCAAAAAAACAATGTTTTTCTATGTATTTTATGTATTTTTTTGTTAAAACGGATAAAAATCCTTCCAAAAAGACCAAAAATCTTTAAAAATAGTAAAAAATTTTTATTAGAGTAGTTGAGTTTACGAATACAACTAAGCGAAATTCATATTTAGACTTCAGGAAATATTTATCGGCATTTTTTCAAGAGTAATTTAGTTTATAACAAGCGCAACAAAAGATTAGATTGATTTATTTAGAAAAAATAAATAAAAAATGCGATTTTTATCGAAATATCTTCCAAAGTATCACCTCCACATCTTTAACAATTATATAATATGTTTAATAATTTAATTTCCCATATTTTCCATAAAATATTTCTTCAAATTCTTTAATATTTTCGCAAAACAAGCCAAAAAACTTTTTTCTTATTCTTTTTCCAGTGTCACTACTTATACTCTTTTATTATATTAGTTCCCCATTCGTTTCGTCTGTCATTTTGCGAATTCTATTCTGCGGTCGACTAATATCTGCTCTGATATGATATCATATCAGAGGAAAAATACTCATCGACGCCCGAGTTGGTTCAATATCTATGATATCGAACAAGTCCAGCAGCCATCGTCGGCGATGTCGCGCCGCACATCCTTCGCACTACTTTACTTCTATTCTGTGTCGTAAGTACCAACGAAAATGTTCGAAAACGTTGGCGCGCCAGCCAACCATCTCTCGAGTGTATGAAGTCTTCATTTTCGCACAATGACTTCCTCCTGAATGCACTCTGAAGATCTCACACCAAAAAATAATATAAAAAATATAAATCACGTTGTAATTAATTTAATTGCAACGTTGTGGTAAAAATTATCATTACACGTTAAGCCTTTAGCGATATGAATTTATTATTCAATAATGGCGGGTAAATTTATGCTCAGTGTGAGTTTCGCTTATTATGCCACTCACGATTTGAATGATTTCAATGTACATGTTTTGTCCCGACTCGAGGATATTGTGCGTCAAGTTTCAACTTGCGCGCCCGTCTCAAGTTTTCACACATTATCATCGCGCGGCGGCGGCGACGGCGGCGGCGGAGGCGTTGTAAAAGTGGTGTAAAAGTTACGAGTTGCTTACAGCACAGTTTAGTCGACGGGCGCGCGCGTCTGGAAAGTCGACGTAAACGCCACTTTGCTTTTCATTTCGTTACTAATGTCCTTTATTCGCGCCTTTTGAACGCGTCGCTATTGTGTGTGCACGCCGTTGAGGAGACTTGAGGCATGATTCCACATTTTGTATATTCGCTGCGTCGTCTTATTCTTTAGTAGGTATGCGAAATCTCTTCACAATCTACATGCTTGTATTCTTCATTTCTACTTACTCGTATGTCTTTTATTTCGGTAAAAAGGTAAAATTTTAAGTTTTTTAAAGTAATTTTTTTAATATTTCACATTTTTGTCAGATTAGGTTAGAATTGATGACGTTTTATTGTATTTTGGGTTGCGGTTTACAGAAACGTGTAATCTGGCGACATCTAGCGGTAGTTTTTGTAAGTAGATATAATAGCAAAAGCATTGTTGGTGTTTATTTAATAATTTTCTCATTAATTTCCATCTGCAACACAATTTCATTCTGTTTCGATTACAAACTCAGCCATTTATCAAATTCCGAGTGTTTTTAAAACTTTTCCGCATTTATTTCCCAGTAAAATATATTTTTCTACTGCTGATTCACTTTGTTTAATTCTTGTGCACCGATTGTGCACCATCATCCATTAGAAAATTGTATTTTACGCGCGGCGGCGAAATGTAAAGTAAAAAGCGAAGAAATACGCGCGCGCAGAAAAATGCTCAATGGTGTCAGATAACGAGTCCATTGTATAATACGAAGTTAGTTTCCTCTCCGGGCATTATTGCTTCTTACAATCGTCGAATCGAATCAGTGTCTCCATCAATTTTGTCCTGCGATTGGATTTTTCCTTCATTGTAGCGCGCGAATGAAGTAAAAGCAACACGTCGCGTCGACAGATGTGACACGGACTCAAACTATACGCAAACATTTTATGCGTGAAGTGCACACAATGTTTTTTCGCGCGCCGGGCGCAAAGGTTTTTTGATGATATTGTATTCTTTTGCACTATAACGCTTACCGCTATTATTCGTACGTGTGGCGCGTAACAACGAGCGAAAAAATTATCTCATAAACGTGCCGCAGAAAGTCGAGCTAAGTTTGTGGCTGTGGCTGCGGCAGCGGCGAGAAATGAAAAATAAAAGAGGTGTTTCGATTACAACGGCGCGCGCGAGGCGGAAAGCAGAAGCTCGCCGGGAATAAAGACGAGTAAAAATGAACCACTATTAGGTCCGAGGGTGTGGTGTCCGTGTCCGTATCCCGTTCTTTTAATTCTGCGATAATAAAACCCACCGCCGCCGCCGCCATGGGAAGCGGATCCTCTCGGCAAATAATTACAAAACTTTATGATTACTTGTATAATTATAAAACTCTTGTGCAAGTTTTATAAATGGTCGCGGAGAGGTGAATACACACGGCGCGAATTTTAATCGAGGCGAGCGCAAATTTTTCCACCACCCCCGGGGGAGAAAAATCGCTGGAATCTAATAAAACTAAAGCAAACACGCGGTTTAAATTTAAATTTTAGAATAAATAATTTAAATGAACAACGTTCGCGGGTGGGAGGCAAAACACAAGTTAACAGGTGAATAAAAATGCAATTTTCTTTATGGAGCGTAAAATTTGTGCCTTATTTTTTAACAGGCTGGAGTTTTTTTTTTTGTTGCCGTGGTACTTCACTTCGGTTCACGTTACGTCTTGTTACGTCTTGTTGCGCTCGCCTGCGTTCGGTTGCCACTTCGCATCAGACTAGTAACAGTAGTTTTGTGTTACTTTCGTGCCCTGGCGTCGCATTGTAATATTCATAAATTTGCGCGCTGTGAGGTTCGGTGTGGTGCGGTGGTGTTCTCTAGCTCTATTTAGCACACACTCAAATCTTCATTTTTATTACTTCTTTTACAGCCGCAAGAGTTTTACGTTTCACTTAATTTTTAAACTTTTCATTTTCATAACGGAAACGCCGCTGGAGATCCTTAGTGTTTGATTAAAAAAAACAACAACACGACTTGTGTTTTAGACATTGACTTGAGTGTAACGGGGTTTTTATGCACTTTTCTTGCGTGATTTGCGGTTTTTTCAAGTGAAAACTTCTTCGAGCGTGTTTTGCGTGGTTTTTTTTTATAACTAGGAACAAAACTTAAACAAATATTGTCATTTTATACATATTGGCATGTGTTTAAACTTTATTTTATGTAAAGTTGTTATTAACTCTGTCGACTCGGGCGTCGATGAGTATTTTTCCTCTGATATGATATCATATCAGAGCAGATATTAGTCGACCGCAGAATTGAATTCACAAAATGACAGACGAAACGAATGGGGAACTAATATAATAGTAGAGTATAAGTAGTGACACTGGAAAAAGAGAGTTTTTTGGCTTGTTTTCGGAAAATATTGAAGAATTTGAAGAAATATTTTATAGAAAATATGGGTAATTAAATTATTAAGGATATAATATGTTTGCTAAAGATGTGGAGTTAATACTTTTGGAGATATTTTGTTTTTTCTGATAAAAATCGCATTTTTTAATTTTTTTCGAAATAAATCTATCTAATCTTTTGTTGCGCTTGTTATAAACTAAATTACTCTTGAAAAAATGCCGGTAAATATTTCCTGAAGTCTGAATATGAATTTCGCGTCGGTCAGTTGTATTCACTTGTGCACTTTTTATGCACTTTTCTTGCGAGATTTGCGGTTTTTTCGCGTGAAAACTTCGTCGAGCGGTGTTTTGTGCGGTTTTTTTTTATAACTAGGAACAAAACTTAAACAAACATTGTCACTTTACACATATTGGCTTGTGTTTAAACTTTATTTTATGTAAAGTTGTTATTAACACTATTA